ATTTATCTCTGTCTATCTATGAATCTATCCATCTCTCTGCTTGTCACCATTTTAGTCTACTTTTTAAATTTTATTTTTCTCTTGGTCTCTTCTCTTATTGCGTACTTTTTGTTTAGAAATATACTTCTGTAACCTTTAATGTATCCCGTTTCTCTTTTCGAAGTGTAGTTTTTATTTTTTTTTGTAATATAGGAGATTAAGATTTAAGTAATATAGGCCAAAGTTTGTCTATTTGTTTCTTAAACTTTTATTTCGTTTATTTACTTATTTATTTATTTATTATTATTTTTTTTGGGGGGGGGGGGTGGGTTGGAAAAGGTTAGTATATTTACTTTTTTCCCACCTTATTCATATGCGTTATTTAAATTTTTATGACGATTTGTTAAAAAAAAAAAAAAAAAAGAGAGAGAGAAAAAAAAACTAACTATTGTGAGACAACATTAGAAATCCCTCCTTCCTTTTTTATCATTGGAGTTTCATGAGAAGAAAAATGCAGTAGACTCTTTTTACAGGTTGAATGGCAGTTTTGATAAATGGTTGCAGGACATTAGCATGGTCGCCACCAGGGTTCCTAACAGTTATGAGTCTTTGTTAATGTTTAGTGTAATGCATGATGTAACATTGGTAGTTTTTAACATTGTGTTAGTAATCTGTTTTCCATCTCTAGTGTTTGATAATGGTAAACGTACATGAGAGTATTGAGGATGTTGCTTCAGATGTCTGAACTTAGTATATATGGTACCTTGTATGGTGAAAAAGAGAAAGACAGACAGACAGACAGACAGTGAATGTGAGAATATTTAAGGGAGTTTGAGAATAAGAGCATGTGAGAGAGAGAGAGAGAGAGAGAGAGAGAGAGCGAGCGAGTGTGTGAGTGAGAGAGAAAGAGAAAGAGAGCTTGTGAGAGAGAGAAAGAGAAAGAGAGCTTGTGAGAGAGAGAAAGAGAAAGAGAGTTTGTGAGAGAGAGAAAGAGAGAGTTTGTGAGAGAGAGAAAGAGAGAGTTTGTGAGAGAGAGAAAGAGAGAGTTTGTGAGAGAGAGAAAGAGAGAGTGTGTGAGAGAGAGAAAGAGAGAGTTTGTGAGAGAGAGAAAGAGAGAGTTTGTGAGAGAGAGAGAGAGAGAGTTTGTGAGAGAGAGAGAGTTTGTGAGAGAGAGAGTGAGTTTGTGTGAGAGAGAGTGAGTTTGTGTGAGAGAGAGAGAGAGAGAGAGAGAGAGAGAGAGAGAGAGAGAGAGAGAGAGAGAGAGAGAGAGAGAGAGAGAGTGAGTTTGTGAGAGAGAGAGAGAGTGAGTTTGTGAGAGAGAGAGAGAGAGAGAGTTTGGTGAGAGAGAGAGAGAGAGAGAGAGAGAGAGAGAGAGAGAGAGAGAGAGAGAGAGAGAGAGAGAGAGAGAGAGTGAGTTTGGTGTGAGAGAGAGAGAGGAGAGAGAGAGAGTTGTGAGAGAGAGAGAGAGAGAGAGAGAGAGGTGAGAGAGAGAAAGAGAGAAAGCTTGAGAGAGAAAGAGAGAAAGCTTGAGAGAGAGAGAGAGAGAGAAAGCTTGAGAGAGAGAGAAAGCTTGAGAGAGAGAAAGAGAGAAAGCTTGAGAGAGAGAGAGAGAGAAAGCTTGAGAGAGAGAGAGAGAGAGAGAAAGCTGTGAGAGAGAGAGAGAGAGAGAGAGGAGAGAGAGAGAGAGAGAGCGAGGAGAGGAGAGAGAGAGAGAGAGAAAGCTTGAGAGAGAGAGAGAGAGAGAGATTGAGAGAGAGAGAGAGAGATTGACGAGAGAGAGAGAGAGAGAGAGAGCTTGAGAGAGCTTAAGAGAGAGCTTAAGAGAGAGAGAAAGCTTGAGAGAGCATAAGAGAGAGAAAGAGAGAGAGCTTAAGAGAGAGAGAGAGAGAGAGCTTAAGAGAGAGAGAGAGAGAGAGAGATTGAGATTGAGAGGAGAGAGAGAGCAAGAAGAGAGAGAGAGAGAGCAAGAGAGAGAGAGAGAGAGAGCAAGAGAGAGAGAGAGAGAGAGAGCAAGAGAGAGAGAGAGAGATGAGAGCAAGAGAGAGAGAGAGAGGAGGAGAGAGCAAGAGAGAGAGAGAGAGAGAGAGCAAGAGAGAGAGAGAGAGAGAGAGCAAGAGAGAGAGAGAGAGAGAGAGCAAGAAGAGAGAGAGAGAGAGGAGAGGAGAGAGAGAGAAGAGAGAGAGAGCAAGAGAGAGAGAGAGAGAGAAGAGAGAGAGCAAGAGAGGAGAGAGAGAGAGAGCAAGAGAGAGAGAGAGAGAGAGAAGAGAGAGAGAAAGCTGAGAGAGAGAGAGAGAGAGGAAAGCTTGAGAGAAGAGAGAGCTTGAGGAGAGAGAGAGAGCTGCGAGAGAGAGAGAGAGAGAGAGAAGAGTGCATGTGACTGAGTTGAGTGAGTGAGTGAGTTTGTGAGAGAGAGAGAGAGAGGAGAGGGCTTGAGAGAGAGAGAGAGAGAGGGCTTGAGAGAGAGAGAGAGAGAGGGCTTGAGAGAGAGAGAGAGAGGGCTTGAGAGAGAGAGAGAGAGAGAGGGCTTGAGAGAGAGAGAGAGAGGGCTTGAGAGAGAGAGAGAGAGAGAGGGCTTGAGAGAGAGAGAGAGAGAGGGCTTGAGAGAGAGAGAGAGAGAGGGCTTGAGAGAGAGAGAGAGAGAGAGGGCTTGAGAGAGAGAGAGAGAGAGGGCTTGAGAGAGAGAGAGAGAGAGGGCTTGAGAGAGAGAGAGAGAGAGGGCTTGAGAGAGAGAGAGAGAGAGGGCTTGAGAGAGAGAGAGAGAGAGGGCTTGAGAGAGAGAGAGAGAGAGGGCTTGAGAGAGAGAGAGAGAGAGGGCTTGAGAGAGAGAGAGAGAGAGAGAGAGAGAGAGAGAGAGAGAGAGAGAGAGAGAGATTGAGAGAGAGAGAGAGAGAGAGATTGAGAGAGAGAGAGAGAGAGAGAGCTTAAGAGAGAGCAAGAGAGAGAGAGAAAGCAAGAGAGAGAGGGAAAGCAAGAGAGAGAGAGAGAGAAAGCAAGAGAGAGAGAGAAAGCGGAGAGAGAGAGAGAGAAAGCGAGAGAGAGAGGAGAGATAGAGAGAGAGAGAGAGAGAGGAGAGAGAGAGAGAGAGAGAGAGAGAGAGAAGAGAGAGAGATAGAGAGAGAGAGAGAGAAGAGAGAGGAGAGAGAGAGATAGAGAGAGAGAGAGAGAGATAGAGAGAGAGAGAAGAGAGAGAGGAGAGAGAGAGAGAGATACAGAGAGAGAGAGATACAGAGAGAGAGAGGAGAGAGAGAGAAGAGAGGAGAGAGAGAGGAGAGGAGAGAGAGAGAGAGAGAGAGAAGAGTGCATGTGACTGAGTTGAGTGAGTGAGTGAGTTTGTGAGAGAGAGAGAGAGTGAGTTGTGAGAGAGAGAGAGAGATAGCTTGAGAGAGAGAAAAAGCATGAGAGAGAGAGAGATACAGAGAGAGAGAGAGAGATAGCTTGAGAGAAGCATGAGATAGAGAGAAAGCATGAGATAGAGAGAGAAGCATGAGATAGAGAGAGAGCATGAGATAGAGAGAGAGCATGAGAGAGAGAGAGAGCAAGAGAGAGAGAGAGGGAAAGCAGAGAGAGAGAGAGAGAAAGCGAGAGAGAGAGAGAGAGAGAAGCGAGAGAGAGAAGAGAGAGGAGAGAGAGACGAGAGAGAGAGAGAGAGAGAAGAGAGAAAGCTTGAGAAGAGAGAGAGAGAGACGAGAGAGAGAGAGAGAGAGAGAGAGGAGAGAGAGAGAGAGAGAGAGAGAGCAAGAGAGAGAGAGAAAGCTGAGAGAGAGAGAGAGAGAGAGAGAGAGAGATACAGAGAAGAGATACAGAGAAGAGATACAGAGAAGAGATACAGAGAAGAGAGAGAGAGAGAGAGAAGAGAGAGAAAGCTTGAGAAGAGAGAGAGAAGGAGAGAGAGAGATGAGAGATAGAGAGAGAGAGAGAGAAGAGCGACGCGCGCAGGTGACTGAGTTGAGTGAGTGAGTGAGTTTGTGAGAGAGAGAGTTTGTGAAAGAGCATGAGAGATAGCTTGAGAGAGAGAAAAAGCATGAGAGAGAGAGATAGCTTGAGAGAGAACATGAGAGATAGTTTGAGAGATAGCTTGAGAGAAAGCATGAGATAGAGAGAAAGCATGAGATAGAGAGAGAGCATGAGATAGAGAGAGAGCATGAGATAGAGAGAGAGCAAGAGATAGAGAGAGAGCAAGAGAGAGAGAGAAAGCAAGAGAGAGAGAGAGAGAGAGAGAAGCGAGAGAGAGAGAGAGAGAAAGCGAGAGAGAGAGAGAGAGAGAAGAGAGAGAGAGAGAGAGAGAGAGAGAGAGAGAGAGAGAAGAGAGAGAGAGAGAGAGAGAGCAAGAGAGAGAGAGAGAGAGAGAGAGAGAGAGAGAGAGAGAGAGAGAGAGAGAGAGACAGAGAAGAGATACAGAGAAGAGATACAGAGAAGAGATACAGAGAAGAGAGAGAGAGAGAGAGAGAGAGAGAGAGAGAGAGAGAGAGAGAGAGAGAGAGAGAGAGAGAGAGAGCGTGCGCGCATGTGACTGAGTTGAGTGAGTGAGTGAGAGTGAGAGAGGGAGTAGTTGAATAAGAACGGGAAACCTGGAGATTGGGCATGTGAACTGAGGGATTGAATGTGTGAATGTGCATGTATGTGTGTGTAAGTGTGAGTGAGTGTGAGTCTTTGTCTCTGTCCGTGCTTAGTTATAAGGGCATGGCATTTTGTTGATGGTGGAATGATTTAATAATTTTATTTCAAGATAGATAAAGCCAAAATTAGTTGCTGTTAGTTGTTAAGATACATTTAATTTATTGTATGTTTCCATATACACCAAAAACAGGTTTGTACTTCTTAGTGCAGACTTCATTTTCTTTGGACATTCTCATCTCCATTTATCAGTGTTATATTTTCCTAAATTTAACCTTCATCATTTGTAACGTTATACCTAGGACATGTATTTGTTACCTAAGTAACCTTGTTATGATTAGTCTTAAACCTTACCTTGTCAACAGTCATCCCACCAGTACTAACTGCCCATTAATGGCCACTTACAGGCAACTCCTTCATGCGTTTACCCAGTAACAACCCCAGCGGGAGTCAGTCCAGTGGTGGCTTTGGTAGTGCCAGGATGAATTCCAACGCTGAGCCAGACTTTTCTGAATTTATGTGGATGGCCGAGGAGGACCTGGAGGCCTTCGACAACAAGGTGAGGCTGACCATGGAGGAGGAGGAGGTGGTAGTGGTCTTGGCCAGAGCCGCTGTCATGGACACCTTTGCAGATCAGAGTAATTATCATAGTCGCTCAGGTAGCCTCCATCCCAGGGGCAAGGCAGACATCCCTCATCCAGTCTCCCTTGATCCAGCTAAAGAAAGGGTGTTGAGAGGGCAGAGGGAAGTATCTGTAGTGTTCTTTACTGTATGTAAAGCATCTGCTAATCGTGAGTCTATACACTAATAAAGGTAATTTATTTGATTTCCCTTACCTGGGAAGAAAAATTTAGTTGTATTCTTTAATAATGACTTTTTTCATAGAACAACTGCATTCTAGGCTCTGATGCAAAGCCTAAGTGTAACAGATGTTATCCAAGTAATTACAAAGAAGACTTTGTTGCATTGCACATCTACCATGCTGAGAGGGATGCCTGCCACCAAGCAAGAATTCAGTCAGGAGGGCAAAGTTTCTTCTCCATTGACTTATAACTGGCAATACCAAACCATGTTATCTACACTTGATTGATGGATTGAAGGATGCAAGAATATCTAGAGCAGAAATGGTCTCGTGAAATCCTGGAGTAGTGATGGTTGGAAACCCATTGTTATCGTGTTATGGTTTGTGCGTCCACAAGCATAAGGGTGACTTTATGGTCTGTGTTAACTCGCCAGGTGACTTTGAAGGCACAGTCTCCATATACATATAGGAAAATTGACAAACATTTAAGCTGCATTTGCAGGAAATCTAACATTTAAACACATTCACAAACATTTACATTAGTGCTGCCACATCTTTAGAAGACATTATATTTAGTGAAATACTGCAAACAAAAAAAAATATTAGGCTCACATCCACTCCAGGTCATTCTTCAACTTACAATTGAATTTTGATAATTATATGCTCACAAACACACACGCTCACACACACATGCTCACATGCACACACATGCTGACACACATGCTGACACACATGCTGACACACACGCTGACACACACGCTGACACACACGCTGACACACACGCTGACACACACGCTGACGCACACGCTGACGCACACGCTGACACACACACGCTGACACACACACACACACACACACACACACACACACACACACACACACACACACACACACACACACATGCTGACACAACACACACGCTGACACAACACACACACACATGCTGACACAACACACGCTGACACACATGCTGACACAACACACACACACACACATGCTGACACAACACACACACACACACATGCTGACACAACACACACACACACACATGCTGACACAACACACACACACACACACATGCTGACACAACACACACACACATGCTGACACAACACACACACACACATGCTGACACAACACACACACACACACACATGCTGACACAACACACACACACACACACATGCTGACACAATACACACACACACACACACATGCTGACACAACACACACACACACACACATGCTGACACAACACACACACACATGCTGACACAACACACACACACACTTGCTGACACAACACACACACACACATGCTGACACAACACACACACACACACATGCTGCCACAACACACACACACATGCTGCCACAACACACACACACACATGCTGCCACAACACACACACACATGCTGACACAACACACACACACACATGCTGACACAACACACGCACACACATGCTGACACAACACACGCACACACATGCTGACACAACACACGCACACACATGCTGACACAACACACACACACACAGGCTGACACAACACACACACACACATGCTGACACAACACACACACACACATGCTGACACCACACACACACACACACACACACATGCTGACACCACACACACACACACACACACACACATGCGGACACCACACACACACACACACACACACACACACACACACACACACACACACACACACACACACACACACACACACACACACACCACACCATGCTCTCACACACACACCCCCCCAACAAACCCCCAAACACACATCTCACACACACACAACACAGATATAGAGATATAGAGAGATGCGAGAGAGGAGAGAGAGAGGAGAGAGAGGAGATAGGACATAGGACAGAGGAGAGAGGAGAGAGATGAGAGAGGAGAGAGAGGAGCGTAGAGAGAGGGAGGAGTAGAGAGAGGTAGAGAGGGAGAGAAAGAAGAAAGAGAGAGAGGGTATAGGAGAAGATGAGAGAGCAGAGAGGGGAGAGGGAGGGGACAGAGAGAAAGTACACCCACACAAAACACACACAAACAAGAGAGAGAGAGAAAGGGAGGAGATAGAGAAAAAGAGCGAGAGAGAAAAAGAAGAGAGAGAAAAAGAGAGAGAGAGAAAGAGAAGAGAGAAAAAGATAGGAGAGAGAAAGTAAGAGAGAGAGCGAAAAAGAGGAGAGAGAGAAAAAGAGAAGCAGAGAGAAAAAGAGAAGAGAGAGAAAAAGAGATGAGAGAT